TATTGAAACATGGAGAACATTTGTTGAGACTGACATTCCTTTCCCCATCCTATAAGTAATGTGATACCGGTAGTATTGTTCAGTGAAAATCTGTAAAAAGCAAAAACAATAGGAGGGACACGGGACTCAGCAGAGTCCATGCGCAGATGTACATACCTTCAGATGTGGTCATCAGCAGATGATTTGTGGATCTATTAACACAGGAAAAGGCTCAATCCAAGCGAATTTCCCAGCACGGCTTCCTCTGGCTAATTGTTACAAATGGAAATCTGGTGGGATAGCTGTCAAACTGTAGTCAGCTGTTTCCATGGACATTTAGAAAAATCACATGCTGCAAAGAAAAACAAAAAAACAGAGGCAAGAGAGAGCATGAGGAACAGTTTGTTAGGACAGTATTGACATTTTTAAAGTGACTTCAGACACACAGGTGACATTTTTACTGCTATAGCTGTTAAATGTGTTTGTACAGCAGAAAGTTCTCTTTAAAGAATAAAACAGTAGTGCTGCACATACAAAGTCTACATTAGCACGCCCAGTGAAGAACGCGCCACGTAACCGGTGGAGACTTTGACCGTTACCGGCAGGGTAGAGTAATGACTGTCAACCACAGGCAGAACAACTGCTGCACTCATGACAGTAATGGGGACTCAAGTAAATGAGTAGGGGACTCAACCCGTCAATCGTTTAATTTTATCGATCCAGATTCTGCTGATTCTTATAGCTTCCAATATGGTTACAAAAAAAGACAGGTCAAATGTTTAGATGCTTATTATGTTCGGTTACATTTTTGTGTAGCGCTTCCTGCACTCTTCTTTTTGTGGTTTCACTGAAGTTTCTACACAGCAGAGATCACATAATGTCCCCACAAATTAACTAGCATTCATTCATTTTTAATGCTATACAGGCTATACATGCTCATCATGACAGCGTTTAAGGTTTAACCTCAGTATTAGTCAGCCATCATATCAGTTTGCCACTGTTTATAAACCGGTTGCCCTGACTTGATTGCTGGGCCGGTCCCCATCAATCTAAATAAATTAAAAACGTAAATCAATAGTCCACACACAGGGAGAAACAGGACAATAGTTTACATTGATCTAGCCGATATTTAGACTGTCAGAGCTTCACATCAGATGTTCTTTTAAGAAACCTCCCGTCCCACTTGTTACCAATGGTTTCGTGATGCTTTATGATGGAATGAAATTATAATGACTATTGTAGACTTGAAAGAAAACAGATTGGATTCATTCTATGTGACCTTCCCAGTGCAGAATCCAACTAATAAATCAAAATCTCCAATTAAACAAAAAAGAAATCTATAAAACGTCACGTTGTTGATCTAATATTTAAACCAAGGACAGCCAGGAATTTCCCATAATGCCCTGAAGTTTTGCAGTTGGTGGAGAGCAGCTGCGGAGCTAATCTGTTAACAAAAACAACAACTTTATAAAGAAATAATACAATAAACACATAAGTCTGTATTTCCAGGTAGTTGTGCCATTATTCTGAGCCCAAGTGGCAACAAATAAATTATAATAATCAATGAATGCAGGTCAACAGTGAAAACCCCAAAACCAAAATAAACCAAATCATTTCCCCCATATCTGCTAGAGTTACATGTTTACATGCCACAGCGTTTAATGTCTCTCCAACGTATTGATCTAACCCCATACTGTCTGTAATGCAGTCCCCTGTAAGATCTGATATTTAGGGCTAATAACATTTTCAGTGATTTCTCCACCCAAACACAAAAGTGCAGGCATTTATTTTACAATGACCTCAAACAAAGTGTGTGGTTTCATAACATAAAAGGCTAAATTAAAAACACGTGTTTTAATTTTGTACAGCACAGGCCTCCAAGGCCTTTTAACTTAATTAATCGACTAATGGTAATTAATAGTGCCGAACAGCCTCTCGGGAAAATCTGCAGGACATTAACCATTTGCCTGACCTTATTAAGAGCACACAAGTGAGATAAAACAAACCAACGGTTGTAAAACAAAAAAAACAAAAACAAAAACAAAAACTAAAAAAGGTAAACAGTGTAAGAGTATGAACACAAACATGGCTCTCGGCACTAATACGGATACAGTCACACGTACATTCCGATGAGATCATCACTAACCCCTTCAGTAACAAACAGACCTAACAATGAAGTTCCCTCTTTTTAATTACACACACACACACACACACACACTATCGTTAGAGAGTTCACTTTCCGCACACAGCTCATGTTACTTATTAAATCCCCTCAGTATGTTACAGGTGCATTCGGTGTCATTACATGTAGGGTAATAGTTAGTAACGCGTATGCTTTTAAAAAACCCCAAAGCAGATAGTGAGACAGAGTAAATCATGAACACAGACAGACGCCGGTGCTGTGCTGATGAGTAACGTTATTAACGTACTGCAAATAGTCCGAGCCCGACGGTTTAGGGTTAGCTGCAGATAAGAAGAGGATGAAATTAGCAGCTCGCTAGCCAGCGTCCGTAGGCCTTTCCTTTAAAAACCCTCAACGGTGGGAGATATCTGCTGGAAACATCAATGTAGTTTATCGTTTTCCTCCGGCCTGCTGCCAACCATTGCGGTGGATAAAGTCAGAATACATCCTCGTCCCCGTTTTGATGGCTCGTCTGCTCCTCTTGTAGCTAGCAGCGCAGGCTAACGTGGTGCGCCGGAGGGTGTTCATTTTACTCCACAGCGCACACCGGTGGTGCTGCCGAGCGGGCCGGGGTCGTGGTGTTACGTTAGGTGTGGGCACATGAGGGGTTTGTATACTTGATATTTAGCATTCATAGCAGAACTCAGATGCGACCATGTCTAGTAGCTGTCTGTTTCACCCCCAGACTGAATTAAAATGCGGGGTGGTTACCCGCCCTCCCGGTTACGTGAGCTCACCTGGAGCCCCTGAAACGACAGGCTTTACTGCACCCTGTGCCCTGCGCGGTGCCCTTGGGCTTGTAGTTTTCCAGGATTTACACAAATACAGCATTTTAAAAAAAACTTTACATTCTCGGAGCAGTTCCTGTTGTTTTTAGCTGCTCGGAGTATTTTCTTCAAATGAATGGATAGAACAGGTTTCATTAAAAAAAAAGGCACCGCCATGTGTTAATACAATGTATGGTGTTAGACATTACACCTTATCGCTGCTACAGCTGCTAATAAACATGCTCTGCTTTTACATTCAACTTCAATGTCCAACCCCAACAGTACTCATTTGAATGCATAAATCCGACGGTGGCCACCATGTAATATGATACAGAAGCTTCCCAGTAAAACCCGACGGATCCCAGTAAAACAAGTCTCACTCACTGTGTCACATTGCTGACTGCAGATATAGTCATACATACATCAGTTCAAAGCCATCATCAACTCTACTCCCAGGTATGATCATTTAAAAATAAATAATGAAACTCCCTTATTTATGGCTTGATTCAGACTCCTGTCCAACAAGACAACACCGCCATAAAACGGCCCTCGCAGGTGTGGAAGGCTCAAACATACCGGGTGAATTTAGATTGGAGGTATTGGGTTAGCCATCTGTCACACAGCCTACTCCCACAGGGCTTTCTTAATCACACCTTGGAGTCTTGTATTTCATGGTGGCGCATTTAGTCCTCCAGTGTAGGTTTGCAGTACTTCAGAGTGTCCCCCCTCCCTCTCCTCCTCTCTTTGCATTAGTAATAACCAGTGCTTAACTGAGCACAGAGCCAGGATTCACCTAAAAACAATTAATCAAGCATATCCTGTTATGTCAAAATACCACTGCATCCGGCCTGGGTGTTGTCTCCAAAGTTGCACCTTTTTAAAATAAATAAAAATGTTCCAGCGATAATTCGCCGTTCGTGAAATAACCAAATAAAATCACTCACATGTATATATTACTCCTAACATCGCCCCTTCCAGACCACCCTGGGTGGCAAAACAGGCGCTTACCCGCCCGCCTTTGGCCACTCAGCCTGTCAGTTAGCAGGCTGGCTAGACTCGAGCCTCGGTTAGCTACAGGCACCGCCGGGCACACCGCCAGCGACAACAGGAGAAACAACGTTAATCAACCTCAACCCCCGAGCACGTCGGATAGCAGCATATGGGAAGACATTTCATTCATACGCCGGTTCGCGAAATGTGCGTTTTGCTGGCTTCAACTTACATGGGCGCTGAGAGGATTGTGTTGATGACCATTCATTTCTCCCGACGGTGGAACACTCCCACGGTGACGTCAAATAGCGTGCTCGACGTCAGGACAGCGGAGTTACCAGACAGGGAGCCATCCCGTCAGAAACCCGTGCGGGTTAAGTGGGTTTATATGACCGGTTTATGGGTTTATGAGTACAACGTATGAATTGTGTGAGAGAGAGAGACACTTAAGGGCTGTAGCTCTTTAAAAAAAATAAAAAAAGGAAAGGAGACAAGTCGTGAATTCTCTCTTGGAATGTAGGGGAGTTCCATTCTAGAATTTTGAAGAAAAAAATAAATAAATAAAATAAAATACATTTGGTGTTTGACTGATTCAAGTATTTTTAGTCACAACATATAAAAAACAAAATTAAAAATAGTATATAAACTATTTGCCCTGTCAGAATATGTTTCCAGGCAATGTGGATAAGGCTTTGAAGCAGATGGAGCTGAAACAATAGTCAATTAATCGATTGATTGAAGATTAATCAGCAACTATTTGATAATTAATTTTCAATTCCTTTCTTGTAAAGAACAAAAAAAAAAAAAAAAAAAAAAAAGGTTGCCGCATCGAGTCTCTATAATGTGAGTGTTTTCTTAGCCTTCCTTGATAGTAAACCTGATATCTTTAGGTTTTGGACTGTTCGGACAAAACTAGCAATTTGAAGCAAAATTTTGGGGCCTGGGGAAATTTTGCATAGACCAAGCAATTAACAATTAGTCGATTAATCAAGAAAATAATTTGTAGATAATTATGGAAACCGCCTGCCCGAGAAGTTACAAATAACCTCAATCATCAAGAAAACAAATTCAGACAGTAATTGTGCGTCTAGCCTTGCCCTTTATTGTTAGTATTAGTAGTATTGTTAGTAAGTATATTTACATTTTGAATCCCTCTTGCTAAATGCAAGAAACCTAGTTGCTTGCCCTGTAATTGCTACTCAGCAGGAAAGGTTCCTCCAGTTTTAATGGCCTAATCTGCAAGGTTAACCAAAAACACACGAGGGAGAGTCTACGAGGATCCTGGGGACTGACGGCAGAACCTTTACCAGTTTCTTGCAGCCGATTTTGGCCTTTGATGAGAAGGGAAAGGATAGAATGGAGGCATGGCACGGTACATAGGCTGTTGTTCAAGCTGATCAGATGGAGCTGGGTTTGCGAGAGGTGTAGTTGGAGGATCAGGAAATACCGGCATGGGAGCCTGCTGAGGAACATAATATGCTGGCATATAAGGGTGTGGGTAGTAAAATGGCTTTTGAGCCGCAGGCTTTAGACTGGTAGCTGCAGTGGTTGTGGAGGTGGTAGCAGGAGCAGCAGTTTGAGTATTTTGTCTTTGAAAAGGATATTTAGGAGGAGGATACAACACAGGTATCTGGTACATCTGAGGATACCCAGAATATGGTTTGGGCTGCTGGTTTACAGGCTTGGGAACCTGAAAAGTTTGACCTTCTGGGAGCAGTGGGAGTTTTGGGAATGGCAGCAAAGGATATTCAGGGGGCATTAGAAACTTTGGCTGCTGGGGAATATGAGGCTTTCCATCATCCTTAGTGGTGGGGGCCGGTGTGGTTAGCAAAGCCTCTGTGGTAGTGGCAAGAGTTGCTGAATGGAAAATTCCAGGTACCATGGGGAATTGTGGGAAAAAAGGAAATGGATACTGTGGATACTGCGGAGACTGCGGCATCTGAGGTAATTGGGCCGGAGGAGCAGCAGTGTTTTTATTTGCAGTAGATTGTGTTGGTGGTACCGGCCTGGGAAACAGGGGGTACTGAGGGAACTGTGGATACTGTGGCATGAAGATAAATTCAGGCTGCTGAGCTGCAGATGCTGAGTCTGTAGCAGCTCCTGAGGGCAGCTGTGGACGTTGTGGCAAAGGTGCCGCTGTACCTGGGGTAGGAGCAGGAGTGTGCGCTGGGGGAGTGGCCCCAGGATACACTGGGTATTGAGGAAACATTGGGAACTGGGGGTACTGAGGATACTGCAGGGCCTGGCCACTATCAGTGGTTGGTGTAGCTGTAGTCGTCGTTGTTGTGGTAGGCTTAACGTCCAGTAATAAAGGGCATGTGACTAAGAGCTCAGCATCCGCCAACAGAAGAGAAAGTAAATACTTCTCATCCTGAAAGGAAGCACACCAAGTAAATCAAAAGCATGTGTACACTTCAGCTCCCACTTTTGACCACAAGAGGGCCCACCATACCTCAATCTCTATGCACAAGCCTCTGTTGTAGGGTGCAGTGAGTGTCAGTCCTCCAGAGAGCCCTTCAACAGCAATTCCACAACTGCTGCAGATCCTTAAGAGGGGTGTCCACCTGCCAGACACTGCAAGAGGTTTTATAAAATAAACTAAAGCTATTTTCTAAACCCAATAAAATGCCAAAATGTTAAGTTACCTACCCTTAACTTTGAGTTGATTTGCTGTAATACCACCAATCTTCACCACCATCCCAGATGGGAAGCAGGAAACAGTGGGTGTTGGTAACACAGCAGGGCAGGACATGGTCATTGGTGCCCCCCATAAACGCAGTGGGAGAATATAATCACCACCCTGCAGTGTAAAATGATGAGGAATGAGAGAAAGGCACACTCATATCCAATAAACCTAGATACTTGAGGGAGCATATTTATCAAACATTGAACTTTAGTCAGAGTTATGGGGGATAGCCAAAGATAAAGTCAGAATAATGCTTGATGAAAATTCAGTTTTTGGGAAATATCCATTACTGCAGTTTGATTTCAGTCATGCAGTTTTGCAACTGATGTAAGAACATTCATGAGATAACGTGACAAATTAACCTCACCTGCTGGGTAACATGGCAGCCCTGGTAAGGTGCAGCAAAGTGCACATCTCTGCGGGACCTCTTCACAGAGAAGCCACATTTAGGGGGCATTTGGGACAAAGGCGTGAGAGGTCCCTCACCTGTTTGACATTAGAAAATAGTTTAAAACAACGTATTGGACAAAATACCACACTTGCACGCACACTTACAGAGAACCTACCACTGTCCACGAGAAAGTGAGGAGCTCTGGCCCGTTTGACCTTCAGAGTCATCAGGTTGTCGCTACATTGCACTGATGGATCCATGCGCTTCAGTTTTGCATTCATCAAATTGTGCAACACTGGAAAAAGCACAAGTTTCATTTGTTAATTGAGAAGACACCATACAGACCCTACCTTGATAAACTGTAACACTCTACTGCATTCATACATTCATTAACTGATACACTGCATCATGTAGAGGAGAATAATATTTTGAAGAGCATGTTCCCATATTGTTTCTGCCCTGCCTGAAACACGAGAAATATGCACAAGCTATGAACGGGTTAGTGATAGAACACATATTTCTGCCCACTGAAGACCATCTCAATGCTGGTGGTGTCCATGGGTGTCCACATGTGCATTCCTCATTCCTCTACAGCTCCACTGGTCATCAAAAACTGCACAGTCTTTAAATACAAGGGCACCTGCCACTGTTTTTAAATTTATGAGACTGAAATGTTTGAGAAATCAGATGCAGGTTTTTTGAATGAAAAAAACTCCAGGTTGAAAGGACCATTGTGTAGGATTAACGGTGCAGTAGCAGATTTTAACATTTGCCTCACCCTCCTGTTCCAAGCATGTAGTAGAATCTATGGTGGCTGCAAAACTCGCCCAAAACATTAAAAAAAGGCCCTATCTAGAGCCAGTGTTTGGTTTGTCTGTGTCCGGACTACTGCAGAAACATGGTGATTAAACTTCCCCTTCCTCTGTAGATAAAAACAGCTCATTCTAAGCCAACAAAAACACAACGATTCTTATTTTAGGGGATAATAAACTAATGAAAACAAACCTATGAATATTATATTCCATTTCTGCCAGTACACACACACACACACACACACACACACACGCAAAACAGTAAACTTAAAAAGAAATGCAGGAGCTCAACCTCTACAGTCAATTAGCTCAACACCTTTAACTGAGTAACAGTAGCTTTTATTGCAAACAGGTAAAAAGCAGAAAAGTATCAGATCCTGGCAGTTCTCCAGCTTTTGGGGGACAAATATCGGGTGGTCAGGACCATTTTCAGTTATTAATCTGACTGAGCAATAATAAAGCAAAACGCACATTTGAGTATTATCTCCCAACTCTTAAAAACACTTATATGATAGGATACACATTCAAAATAAAATCTGTAAGTTTTCATGTTGCTGCCTTGATCCTGTAGTAAAAGGGATTCATTTCCACTGTGTTCTTATACAAACAAGACTCAGGGACATACAATACTTAATGTAGAATATACATACAAAAACATACATCCCAGAAATATTCCAACAATCAACAGGAGCATGCATTCATTAAAACACATTCTTAAAAACATATAGCCCTAATTAATTGAATTGTTAGAATATGAATCAATTCAGCCTAAATACATTATTAAATATTGATTTGGTAATGGTTTAAATTAAATCATGCTGAGCTTGAAATAAGGGGAGTTAATTAAAGTATTCTTTGGATAGGAATCTACCACCATTTATTGTGCAGTTTATAAGAATTAAATAAATTATAATGTGATTCACCTCCCCATGGGGTATGTCAATGTATTTAAAATGAAAGTACACTGCAAGCCATGGATGTAAACTCTGTGGCACTAAACAATCAGCGGAATGCATTGCTCACTGGAGCACTTTATTTTATTTTATAAGTATCTGTAACTAACCTGTTTTATGGTCACCTCGTTCAAGTTCGTCAAGCTTGAAGGTAAGTGAACCGTGTCGTGTTGGGGCCGCAGGTTCCTGTTTGACACCGCTGAAGTGAACACTGCCCGGTGATGAAGGTCTTTGCTCAACAGTTTGTCCATTGCTAAGCTGTGAGGACGTTAGGGTCGCCATCACTACCAAATACAACATAAGGGTTTTCCAACGCATTACAGCTCCGATTATTACGTTAGGTATGTCTTTTTGTAAAACTGTTGCTAATCGCAAAGACAGTCACTGCGGCGACTTGTTATACATATATGGGCTCAGTGTTACTTAATTGATTAACCAATCACAGGCCAGTTTGATGCAAGCACCTGTTTGTGGGAGAGACAGGTAATGACGCTTCCTCTAACGTCATCAAAGAAACGGAAGCACAGAATAAGGTCATATTACATTTTTTAAAGTGCATATCGAATCAGAAAAATACAAGCAAATAGTGGTTTCACTGACTCCTTATAAAAAGAGTTTTAACACCAAGGCTTGTTATGAACCGGCTTCAACTAGTAAACTGGTTGGACCTCATTAAAAGTGCATTAATGCCAAGTATAATGAATTTAACTAAAAAGTTAGGCAGCTAAGATTTTTTTAAACCACATTTAAATCGAATTGATATATAAGTAATACTACTATACAGGACAAATCCAACATTGTTGAAACAATATAAATGTACTTTTGCTTTGCAAACTTGATATGAAATGAGATTAAAATGATTCCAGCAACATTTCTGCACATTGCATTCATCAAGGTTATAGATGAGTCATATGAAGTCCCTTTATTTACAAACAACACAATGAAAACATCAAATCATATTCATTTCTTACAGAGTTAAATAGTGCAGCTTCACATATTACCAAGGTAAATCAGACAAATGCTCACGACTTTTAACCAGTGAAGTTACAACACTAATCTGGTAAAAAGAGGTGTCGACTCAAATGAAAGGAATTTTACACTGCTGACTGAGAAGTGGTCTATCATGCATTCATAAATAACACTGGCATAAATGAACAAACTTTATAAAACCCTATAATCGTGGAAAACTCATTATATTCCCTTTTACAAGTCAAATCACAATGAGTAGATTAACAAATTGGTCGGACATTTTTCTACAAAGGCCCCATCCATATCTTCTCCAAAACGTACATGTCTTATAAAATTAAGGATTTCTGTGTGATAAGACTACTCAAGGGGCTTTTGTGCTTAATATTTCTCATTTAATTACTTTCAAGAAAAGCAGTTTTTACTTAGATGAGGCCATGTCTTGCGAGAGCATTACTGTTAGCATGACATGAATGTGGCATTTCATGGTGGAGCAGGAATTCAGTGGACAGCTTAGAGATCTGTGATATCGTCCTCACACCAGTCATGGTGCATCACTGCTGAGAACGCTGAATTAAATTCTTCTTCCTGATGTGCAGTAGCTGGAGACCCAACACTACCGTTATAATCAGCGTCAGCTGACTGCTCTTTAGCTTGGAAATTATCTAGAGATGCAGAAATAGACTCTGTATCCAGCGTCCACCCGTAGCCGACGTAAGCTGGAGGGAATGTAGTTGTACCACATTCTCCGTCAGTGGCGTCTGTGGCCACAGAGTGAGTCCATGAGGGAGGTGGAGGCGTAAACAGACCTCCTGCTACAAGCTGTCCGTGATGGAGGGCATTGTCAATGCTGCGCCTGAGGTTAATAGGAGATGGTGGCCTCATGTCAAATTCTATAAGTGAAAGAACACATTCGCGTTCACCAACTTTTTGCCACAGAAGTGCAGCCTGAGACTCTGAGCTGCTAATGCCAGCAGGATCAGGCTTGTATTCTCGTATAATGGTACACGGTTGATCATCATATGGACACATTATGTTGTTGCTGAAACCGGCTTTAGACAGGTTATACTTTGCCCAGGTACTTGGCATCAGGTCTTCCCAGGTTTTCTCAGATTTTCTTAGTGGCCCTTTCTGTATGCTGGCCAAGATGTTACCCCACAAGCTTGTCTCCTCCAACCCTTTAGACACCTCACTTCTGCCCTGCCCATTATCACCCCTTGAATGACCCCTTGATGGCATCCAAAAGATCCAGGATCCCAGGACAAGCAAAGAAAATCCCCATGCTAGCTCAAGAATCCTGGCCCAAAACTGACTGAGCCACCAGCCCCAGCCGAAGCGCCTCCAGTTCCCCAGTAGCCCATAAAGCCAAAGGAGACTATACATCTGAAAGCTGAAGCAGAGAACCCCAAGGAAGGCACACACTGCTGTTACTCTCTTTGCACGCGTCTCAACCCTCGGTGAAGGAACCCACTGAGGCACAGAAGACCTGAGAAAGGGATGTGTATGAGAAAAAGACTTAGAGACCATTCCCAAGCAGAATGGGAGGCCCCAGCAAAGGGAGAGCGTCTGTAGCAACAGAGGGAGCGTGGGGGACAAGGTTTGAGAGAAAAGGTCTGCTACAAGTAATGGAGTGCAATGTGATATAGCCAGTCCTCCAACCACCCATGGCTGCTGCAGTGTTATTGGGAAAAATAATAAATTCAACCCCTTGAGTGTAACCAGAGTGAGGGCAACCTGTGTCCACAGAAGGAGCTGCAGAGGGACATTATGGAAGGCTGCCAGAGCAGCACGAGACAGGATTTGACGGGTACCATAAGGATCAAGTAGAAGGAGGAAGCCACGCAGAGTACCACTCAGGATCAGGAGACTATTTGCCAGAATCAGGGCGTCACAGACGGGATGAGGAAGAGTGAATGCACCACCCATCCCCACAACGGCCAGGACTGCCATCAGTATGAAAAGGCCGGCAGATCCAAAGACATGTAGTTCCCAGGCAAATGCCAGTGTGCGCCTCATGTCTTCCCAGAGCAGGCTGGTGCCATTAAAGTTTGGCAGAACAACACAAGGTCTAAGACCGAGCACACAGGGGCCTCCAGGTTCCGACTGGTTCTGGTTCGTCATGGAAGTGAACACATTGTTTTGGACGGGGAATTTAGGGCTGTCCACGTCTGAAGACAGACCTGAGAGAGAGAGAGACAGAGAGGGAGAAAGAGAAGATTTATTTTCACTCAGTGGTGACTTCGTGGCTAATGGAGAGTATTTTCATATTATGTCCGACTTTGCTGACTCAGGAATTAAGAACTGACATTGTAACATCTTCATACTGACACTGACTATATCATCAAATATCATTATATGTCACACTGCTCTCTACTCTTTACTCATTTATTTAAGTATCCGGCCATTTTGTACATATTCTCTCACTCTTTATATTTGTATATAGTTGCTTCTTTTTATATTGTCTCTATTTTTTTCTTTTTATCTTTATTTATATATTTTATTGTGATTCTTATGCACCGATGTACACAGGCAAATTACTCGTATGTGAAAACTTACTTGGCAATGAACCTGATTCTGATCTGATTCTGATATCATACAGAAAATGTATTAGGAATCTATGACACGTTTCTGATCTTATGTTCACTTACCATCCAGAAAATCTTCATTTACTATCGATATGTGAGTCTCTTTTAACTGTTCCTCAGTTGTTATGTGGCTGAGAACTTCTTCTGAGATACTGTGCACACTGGAGTGAGTATATCCTGTAATTGAAGAATTAGCTCTGTCAGCCTCTTGGCCGTGACCTCCTGAGTGCTGTAGAGTAAGTGCTGGTGTTGTAGTTAATGTGATTCCAGACCCAGGACGGTTTTCAGTGCCAGCTCGCTCAGGCCTCTTTGGAATAACAGTCTGATTGATGACTTTCTGCGATGCTGTACTGTCAACACTTTGTCCACTGCTCTCCACAGTGTCACTGCTGCTCTCTGGATGGAAGATTACTTCAGTGGCCACGCTGTCCGGGGCATTGTTGTTTCTAGCTGTGCTTCGAGTCATTCGGACTGAGTTGTCCGGTAAATGTGAAGTTTGAATCAGGCTTCCAAATGATGAGAGATACACGGTCAGTGTAATGAAGAGCAAAGATGAACGCCCCATTTTTAACACTCACATTAAGTTAAAATCCCAAAACCTGTAGAACAAGAAAGAAAAAAGAGAGGAACAGTTGAAATACAGCACATCAGACGGACATTGGCTATAGAGATTATTGTTTGGCATCAATGTAACTATTAAAATTCATGCAGTATTTTTACAGTACACTATTTTATAGAATTGTAAAAGAGTCACTCAGATTCCCAGATAATTAATCTTGTTTTTAAATCCTATAAAGGACAATAATTACCCAAGAGTAATCCAGAGAGTTTGCACACTCTATAACACCTGTGGACGGTTTGTCTCAGCAAAAATACAACACAGCTTGGCAGAAACATGGCACAGCATGAGCCGGTCTGATCTGTCGGTGACCTTTGGGTCACAAATGTCAAGCTGCCACTTCAGTGATATGCAAATCACACATGATGTGAACAAATCATAAATAACTAAAAGGATTCAAATAGCAGATAGTACACAAGTATTATCCAAAATAAGATTATGTTCAGCATGACTTAAACATTTCTAACAAGTGTCCTGATTTACCAAATGCAACCTCAGGTGAGTTTGGATGTTTATGTTTGTATTTATTTTAGTTTATTTTAGTTTAATACCATGTGTCCTGACTTACTGTTATTCAATAAAATAACAGCACACAAATACAAAAGCTTTAAAAAAAGCTTTACATGCGTGATTATTTCTCTATTAAGTCTCTAAAACATACATGGAAGTTTTTCTAACACTTATTTCACAGCTTTACCAAAACAATATCTTCTAACTAAAACAAAGATTTCAAAACGCTAAATCAAACCAGATAACATCAGAAGTACCTGTGATTCCTTTTGCTCTGCCTCCTTTTAGTGTGTCACTCCGTCTCTCTAGCTGCAGTACAAACGCGTATAACATCAGATTTTAGTGTGGGCACATAAAGAGCATCAGGGTGAGGGTTGAGCACACTGGATTTACTGACATGCTCACAGACATCTAGGCTTCAAGCTGACGTCTTACTCTTATTACTGCACCGGCTGGTTACTTGGCAGCGTCCCATCCTGAATTTCACCTGCAAAAGCAATTTCAAAAGCAAAATACTGGGCGGGGCTAATTCTGAAAAAACAATGCTGGAATAAACACCTTCCAGAGTTTTTGTCTTCACATTTGTATTTAAAAAAAGGAAAATAATGAACTAAATGAATAAACTCCCACAAGCTTCGCCTGCCTCTTTCTACAACAGTTGTGTTAAGGTAAATCCCTTCTCTAAAGGATTACATTAAGATTCTTACAGTAGCACAAAGTCACATGAAGTG